TCCACATTTTCTGAACTTTCGTTAATTTATTTTCGACCACCCTGTATAAAAACTGGAAAATTTTAATGTCAAATTCGATCAATTAGGTCTTCCTCTACAAAATGGCAAATTTAAACAAAAAAATAAACCAATGTATACGGGAAAACCTAAATATTGTTGACAGTCTGCATCTCTCAATTTTTGCTTAAAAATCAAAATATCTCGGAAACGGTCAATACTAAGTATGGAGTGTGCTATATGTTTTCAACTTAAAAATAGATGCTCTTTCCAAAAATTCAATAATATACAGGGGGTTCCATTTAAAATAAGAGAGTTAGTATCGACTTCTGGTATAACCGGAAGTACGATGACCTTGAAAATATTTTAGCTTGGTAGGCTCCACGGTCCGTATCACACAATCACAATTTCAAAAAAATCATTCGAGCAGTTTCCCAGATATCCATCGATGGAGTTCGTGGTGGGACATCCTGTATATGTTTTAATGCAAGTGAAATAAACTTTTACTGAATTTACAAATCCTTGGTATTTTCACGAGCTTTGGCTCTATCTATCTAAAAAGTTAATAAAGAAACGTAAATTAAAATACATATAACCTGTTATAGTAATTTGTAACTTATCTCCGAATCGCCCTGTGGATATATATTTAACAGTCTCACGTTGCGAACATTAATTAGTCACTGTATCCAATCCAGACCGATAAACAGTGATATATTTATTTTTTTAGCTTTGTTTATAAAAACTCGATGTTTACAAGGTCCACTGATTATTTTACTATATCCAGTGTTTGTTTACACACCGTATGTATGTGGAATTCCATTACTCATTACCGGAACTTCGATATTTAAACGATAACCAGCTCGGTCGTGCATTATTTCGAGAATCTCGGTATTTGCTTACATTACCGCAAATATTTGCCCGCTGCAGGTGAAAAGAAAAACAAATTAAAATTTCTGCGTTAGTCAGCCAAACGAAATAACACATGCTAATCACTTCGCTAAAACGGGAATTTAAAGGCGTTAAAATAATTCAAATTCTACCAATGAAATCATAAATCAACGATTTAAAGATGAAAGTGTTTTATTTGCCCTAAATATTAAATTAAGTAGCAACTAAACGGACCCAGATCCAGATATGTGACGTGGTGCATAAAAAAGAGTAAGGCAAGGCTGTACTAAAACGACTGTTGATTTACTCGCAAATTATATTGAAGATTCAAACATCCCTGAAAATTATTTATGAAAATGTTTTTCTTAGGAAAATTCCATAAAAATTCTCTTTAACTAATCAAAGCCTATTTAATTCACTTCTGATATCTGTTTTTCGCGAAAACTTAAGAACAAGCATATAGTTAACATTTTTGCTGAGCCTGATATAAACATTATTTTAATTCAGTCAGAAGAAGCAACATTCGAAGATGTATGTTCCCAGTACCTAGACGTTGAATAAATCGTCTGGGGCTGGGAGTATATTTTTGTTGTTGCTTCGATCAACGTGGCTACAAGGAAACGCAGCGCATACATTTTTATGGAGAAGCCAGATTCAAATTTTCCCTGGCGTGTAAATACATTTTTGTCCCTCTCTTTTACAGAGCACTTTTGTGTTAAATAAAAATAAAAGCATCTGTTTAAATTATATTTTAAAGAAAAGAGAGAAGTTTGTTAAATTTTTTGTTACATTTTCTGTTAAAAAAAATTTCCCCTCCGCCTAACTTCCGAATTTTTTGTTCCATTTTTTGTCAATTTTTAACAAAACACAATAATAGCAATTTCAATTAAATTTTATGGAAAAGAGAAAGAATTCTTTGTTAAATGTTCTGTTAAATTTTTTGTTCAAAAAAATATTTTGTGGATCATGTAGCGGGATCGCAGAAGTTTGAAGAGGTATTTGCCGCGCCTGATATTTTTTAAGAAATTTTGTCGCTTTTAATAAAATTTTACGTATTTCGGGAATTTTGTATTAGGATAGCAGAATATCGAGGTGTTTGCCGCGCCTGAAAAAAAAAAGATAGATTTTCTAATGCCAAAATTTAACTTTTTGATGAAAATTTTGCCAAGATTCTGTAAGAATATATTTTATGGATCATGTATCAGGATCACAGAAGCTTGAAGAGGTATTTGCCGCGCCTGATAAAAAAAGAAAGGTATATTCTGGAAGAGATATTATAGTTCTTAAAATAATGAAAAAACTCCAGCGAACTATAACGGCCCTCATCAATTCAAAATTGCAGTTAGTTCATCTCTAGCTCCATAAATTTTCGAGGTTGTTTTAGTTTGATTGTCGCAATGAACGAAATTTCACTTTTTAAATAAAACAGAAGTGAAGCCAATGAAAAAATTTATTAAAAAACATTATCACAATATCGCTTTACCAATCTAACACAATTTAGTACATCGTAATAACTGATATAAGGATTGCCTGATAACTAGACTGTTCATGTGTCAAAGATACAAGGCGAAAGCGACACCGGTTTTCCGTCATTTCTCGACTTGTTTTGTTGCTTCTAGTTCCGGAAAATATTTCACCGCGTTCGTGGCTAATTAACGTGTTTCAACTCGAAAGAATTCTGTAAAATAAAATTAAAAAATTAACACATACCTACAGGGTGTTTTGTACTATGATACACAATAAAATGTCCCTATATAATATTTTTATGTATTTTTGATTCATGTCAAATTTGATATGCCAATCCGATGGCATCAATTGCATTGTTGCAAGACCGTTATTTCCGCAGATATAATCCAAAAATTTATCTTTCCAGTGAAGTACCATTATATGATTACTTCCTTGGATATATCCTTTCCTTGCAATTACAACAATATAGTCTTCGATTCGATTCTAACTGTAAGAGAGATATATCCACAAAAGCGTGGCATAAGCAGATACTAGAAAGAAACTGTTAGTTGTTTGGCAACCAAATCCTCCATTTACGGTTCCCAGCCGGGCCGTCGCGACGGTAAATTGGAATTAACCACATCCATCAAAGCGTATATATCCATGATATCGTTCGGGAGAGATCGACTGTTATCTTTGGTTGCTGTTTTCACACCGGTGATTTTTTATTGTTTTATTAGTTTACAAGTAATGAATTTTAGCTCTTCATATTTTTTTCATATACCTAACCGTTTCCGTAAAGCGCTAAAATTCAAGATCATTGCATTTCTGATTAGATGGTGAACAAATTTTAACATTTTTCGCGGTAAATAGTTAATAAAATTTGAAAATATGGTGTGCATTTCTTCATATTCACGCCATCTAAACAGATTTTTGCTGTCGTTTCTCGTTTGTCTGTTACGGGCCCGAGACGCGAACTTTGAGACACCCTGTACATTAACGCAAAGCCAAAGTATACTTGGAGTGTACCCGTGCAACCTGGGCAATCTCTCGATCACCAGTTTTGGTAGCATTTAAGAATAGAATAAATTTAATGGTTGGTCATTCGTGACCACTATTAATATCACGAAACAAAAAAAAACAAATTTCAGCACCATTGTTAGGATTGTAAAGCCAGTTAGCCACGCAACCGCCTCGATCCCAAGGCCACCCGCTGACCGTACGACATGGGCATGAGAGATGAGAACGTCGACGCGAGAACGAGGAATCTTACTACACGCTAATTAATTCCATTTCGTTTTTTACGGAACGGGTCACTGTTCACGTTCTCTCCGAAACGAAACGGGTTTTTTTCGCGGCACGGCGATTACTTCCCCGCCCGGGGCTGCATTTTTTTTTATATCCACATCGCGCTTTGTTGGTGGGAGGCCCCGAAAGAGCCATAATTTAATACCGGGCTCAATTAATGCCTCTCGACGAGACAATTGGTCAATTAGGGTACGGTCTTCATGGAACCCGATGCGGTTCGTTTCACATGCAGCGGGACGGGCTTCGAGTTAAAAAGGTTTCCAAAATGGTTATAATTACGTATAGGTATCGTACACAGGGTGTGAGAAGTTTGACTGTCTTAATTTATAAACCTTATATGACATGGGGGTCCTAAACTCAACCATTACCGTGAAAGAAATCAAAATCTCCAGCTTAACGTATAAAAGTTCGATTAATTAAGGAATATCGACATAACTGCGTTCGTAGAATACCATAAAATACAATGATTATCCAGCAATACTCAATTCAGACGGTATCTGGAATTGGACCGTGTCTGAGTGTTTTTTGCGTACCACTATTTCCTTTTCTTGGGGTGTTTTCCAGCGAGTGCACGATTCGAAGATGGTATGCGTCGGCTGTGTAGCGTTAGGTTAAGCGCTGTTGTCACATTGTGATGAAACTCAATATTAATACTCGCTGTATTTTGAAAACTGTTAATCCTACGCCCCTGTAATATATGTACAACTTTTTTGTTCATTTATGATTACTCTATGTCATGCTGAAGTAATGACAGTCAAACCTTTTACACCCTGTATAGTGGCAGTGGGAACAGGTTTGGGACATTTCGGTAATATTCCTAGAGCCTTTGCCTTAAAGCAATGTTACCAAATTGGAAAGAGCAGCGAATTCTAAGTATCTTTGAGAGTAAGAGTAGTTGTTTCCGCAATAGCATCGTATTTGTTGGTATAAATCAATGCTGATCGAAGCATTAGTCCGCAGAGTAGTTGCTTCTTGCAGCGTCACCCATTAAGAATCCAGAAGTCTCCTAAGACACTTAAAAAAGAATCCTAGAAATTTGTACCGCTATAATAAGTGTTCAAAATGTTTATCACATTCTAAACAAGTGCGAAATCAAATTGACTCGTACGTGAGTAAATGCCCTTCTACCTATGGGAAGTTTGTTGTGATCCTCATTCAAGACGAGACACCGCAATAAAAGGTCTAGCATGTAGTCTTTCTGATGCCGACTCCCACAAATATGTCGTATTTTGCATCCCCACAAGTTGGGGAAAAATTATTCACCAATAACAAAAGTACAAATAGCCAAAAGACATAATAACGAACAACATCCTTCTAATCAAACTAACAACATGATTGTAAAGTAAGTGAATAGTTCTTACCTGATAAGGCTCTAGAAGTTTGTAGTCTTTGAAGGCTAATTCTCTATCTACCAAAAATTCTACTGGCTGGAGATGTGTAGGTATATCTACTGTAGAAACTATAGCGGAGAACGTCTGAAAAGAAAAAAATTGTTTTATACGTTTTTAATAGAGATATAGCACAAGAATAAATGATTCTTGTGGATATAGTATAGTCTTCCGAAGTCAGTTCAACATGTATATAAACGGGACTTTCCGACCCTGTATAAAAACGCCTAGCAATAAAACTTAGTGAGTTTCATAGGCGTCCCTAAACAAGTTCTGCGCTAAAGGTAAAAAATAATAATAAGTATATAATTTTTATTTTTTGCTTCCTCTTCTATAACACCTTGTTTAATAACACGAAAAATTGTGGACACTGAATCTATAGTTAATATGTGAATTGTATTTATAATTTCTTTAGCTGATTTTTCATTTTCTTCCTTTTTTGAACAATTGTAAATATTTAAAATGAGACGCCGATATTGAACATGTAAATCTTTATTTTTAAATTCTAAATCTGTTTCATCAACAACCAGTTGACGAAGGTCTCCAAAATGCCATATTATAATAATATTAGTAAACAAAATATCCCCCTTATTTCTCCCTTTGGCAATTGTAATATGAATGATTAATAGAAGGTGCCCATAATAAAATAAAATTACCTGAATCACCCCAAATTCCATACTGCTGCACTGCACTGCTAGGCAATTTGTCGACAACTGAAATTTATGGCCGGTCGCCCAGTGCGGCTGTGCTTGTGCGTCGTTTGCCCGCGCGCGCTTTCTGGGCGACCAGACCTGTATATGGGTATGGCTAAATAAATATGGGAACAAGTTCTTCAAATATTTCAATGCTGAGTTGCTGCGTAGCGACCGAACCTGATACATACTGCCTAGCTCTTTGGTCCTCAATTGAGATCGGAAAGACTATACTTTAAATTGCATAAATAAAAGGCATTGTTTGCTAAAAATTAATTAATAGGATGCATATTTTCAATTGAGTAAGTCAGGGATTGCATTTCATATACTTTTAAAATTGAAGATTTTCATTCCGAAGAAGAAATATAGTTTCATTAATAAAAAATTATTTACGAATACGTTGCCTCAATAAAGCTGTTCGAAGGTCACCACTGAATATGTAAAAAGAAAATAACAACTCAAATACTTTATTTACAATAATTATCTGTGTTGCTTAACACCTTGAAAAAATATTTTTATATTGAAATGCTCAACATAAAAAACATTGTGAAAAAAGCTTCTCAATGCTAATCAGATTCACGACAGCGACAATAATTTTACAAATCTATTCCCCGAAATAAAAAACTCGTGACTTTGAAATGACTTTCACGGGATCAGAGTAGGTCGACGACTACACAGACAAATTCCTGCTCGTTTAATTACCCGGCCAATTTAAACAAGACCGCTTCAAATTCGGGCCTTGAAGCGACGATTAGCCCGTCCGTATTTTTAGACGAAAATTTCACGCAAAGGAAAAAAAATGCATAAATATGTATCTGGCAAGGATTTATACCGCAACAATTACGCGCGCGGGCAATTCAGTCATGGCACGGAGGTTCGCCTTGACCATTCGGATCGCCCGAATAAAAAAAAAACATTCAAGCTATTTCAGTCCGGCGTAATAAATATTTATGAGGCGGTGGTTTATGTATACTGAATCGGTAATTCGCATTTTTACAGCGAGGATTTACGATCGTTATTCATTAGATTTTTTAAATAATGCATACAGTGGTGTGTGACTCAACGCATACACCTTACCATGCGGTGAAGTCCTTGAAGATGCTAGTAAACTATTTAAATTTCACACGCAACGAAATATACCAGGGCAATTAAATTATTTTCAAATCATAATCGTTCTTCCCAAATCCCGAACAAATTATTACCCGTTTGCAAGTCTTTGTACCACTTGTAATTTTTTTTTTCATCACTGAAGGCCTTCTGTAACATTCTCAACGTTTCCGCGGCAGAATATTCATTTCGCAAATTTTACGAGACCAAAAATTTTAACCTACACCACGAACCCGAAGTATTTCACACATCTGCTGCCTGTAATTTATGCAAATCACTTCGGCAAACAAACAACCGATGCAATTAACATACGTCTAGCAAATTAACAAGTTCGTATGTGTACTCGTTTGTGCCGTGGCAGGTATTTTGACCTTATTTTTCCACGATTAGTCAAGGTCTCTGCGGTCGAAATGTCGGTTAAATGTTTTGTTTACACAAAATCCCACAGCTAAGTAAATAACGAGGGTAAGGCGTTTCAGTTGTACTTTTTTGACTTGTGATACAATGATAAGAGTACTTATAGAATTGTTGTTAATCTACGGCGAATATCGTCAAAACACTGGAGAGGCATCGCACATATTAATCATTTTAACTGCTCAAGTTTATGTACAAATGTTTTGGCATACACTTCGCATACATTTTTCAATATTTCAACCGTGTTAAACTAGATCAATTTATCTGGTTCCTAAATTCGATTCGGCACATTCCCAGGTGTATTTACACAATGAATTTATTTATGGGTCCCAGTTCATGCCAAGAAGTCTGGATCAACAAGATTCCTGCAAAGCAATCTGTTTTGCCACGAAACTATGCGTTCCCAGAAAACAAACTTTCTGGAACCTTTCCCAACGAATAAATCTCGCGCTTTATTATGCTGCCCCGTCGTCCGTGAGCATGATTTATTTTTTTTTTCGGTCCCGATTTTAAAACTTATTTTCATTCTGGTTGTGCAAAAGATAAATACCGTGTTTGAGTCACTGATATCGAGGCAATTTTCGTCGTAAAACGACCGGTGGTTATTATAAATAACCGGTAAAGTGATGCGTACGGTCAAGAAGAGGTAGGGTGGAGTGGGGCGAAATGGAAAAAATCTAGTGACACAACCTGTTGGAAATATAGAGTTGGACACGAATTTTTGTTTCGGCAAGCTGAATTTATCACTATAGATGCTAAATATTATGTACAATAACATATTAGTTTCCACAGTCATAAAAATGGGGGGAAGATTGTTTACAGGTTAATTGTATAATTTTTACGTAAATTCACGTTTCTCACTTATAACTTTTTTCCGTTAATTTCCACGAGAAAACAGTGAAGTACTTTTTTTGTCTTCAAAAGACCTACAAAACTAGCCCTCGAGCGTCAAAAAATATTGATTAGATCAAAAGTTATGAACAGAACCCACGTAACGTTCTATTTCATTATCTTTTTGCCTTTCTATTAAGGAAGAAAGTTAGGCGATTGTAAATATTTCTGAACAGTTCTTGATTTGTCTTTGATTTGGGTATAATTGTAAACCTTCTGTTTCCACTAATTCTAAGATTTGATTGAGCAAAAACACAAATCGTATCATGCATTTCACTGTGAGAAAAATCATTATGTCCTGGCATTTTTGATATTAGAATTTTTGCTACAAATAATTATTAAATTAGAAAAATAAGAGATATCCTTACTAAACCCTTATTAACTCAACGCAAAACTGTCAAATATTTGTTGACACAAAAAACTGACATGTGCCGACAGAAGCCTACTTGAAAAAAGTCAAAGCAATAACGGTGGCCAATGCGATTTTACGTTGAACTTTTAAAATGCAATAATTGAAAAGGCGTTAAAGTTTCGATGATTTAAAGAAAAGAAAGAATATCATTTCTATGTAAAATTAAACTGCCTTTAGATTTTTAGACACACTTTATAGTCATAGTTCATTAGACAAAAAAAATGTGTTATGATATACTGAAGTAACAGGGTGTAACTAACGCCCTGTATAGATAGTGCCAAATTCAGCGTAATTCGTAATTCTCATACCAAAAAAACATAAAGCTACCAATTTTCGAGTCGATTCTGCTAAAAATTCCAAAATTATTAAGAAATTTCACATCAAAATTCCAATTTAGAACAACACCCTGTATCTCGTAAACCTGCGACATTTGTATAATCATCACATTTTGGTGCGCGGCATCTCCAGTTCAGAGATTGCCCATTCTTAATGAATCTCCCCGTATATTTTTTAATTCTACAAACAATTCCGACACTACCGTCTTCGACTTCGATTAAATCTGCCCCGGTCGACCCCACAGACATCCGCAAATTAACTCTTATTCCACTCGACGGCAATTTAAACAAATTGCACTTCCCGGTCGTGATGTGGGTCAAACAAACATCTGGTTCTGGTTTTCTTAGCAACGGTCTTACTGCTTGAATTCGCTGGTCGACCCATATTACTCCTCTTATCTGTTCTATCGCCGGATCAACCATCGACTGCTCCTTGGAAAACAATTGGTTTATTTACGCTGGTTGGGTCTAGTGGGCCATCGAGAAAATCGCACTTTAAAAAGATATGAATATGAATATGAGATATGAGAAATGTAGGCGTTACATTTCTATACAAGGCTATCAAATTACCATAAAAACAAATGAAACTGAATTTGTAATTATTGTTTGACTTTTGATCTTTTAGACAGTTTCATGCATTTATTTAGTGACACCCTGTATGTTTACAAAATACAGTTCGAAGAGATGTTATTTATCATCATAAAACGCTGGTTAATTGAAGTGTTTGTTTATTACTGAGAGATTGTGTAACATTACGTCCGGTTACAAGTTATATGTTTATTTTTTTATATATTTACCTACACATGTTTACCTATTACTGCGCTTCAACTGTTAAGTACATACAAAAAGATATTTCTTTACATAAAAAAATGTGTTTACTTTACATTAAAATGTGCAAATATTTGCATTTTATTGTATGTTTTCAAAAATAAGCGAATAACACATACAAATAAAAACAATAACTATAAATCATTTTTTTAAGACGATAAAACTTTTATTTATAAAATGATGTATACTATACAAACTCTTGGCTTCAGTTCAAACACAAAATTATTTTCTGTGAATACTGTTTAATTTCAATTTTTTTTTCTTGGCGATGCGTTTATTTTGGTACCTCCCACACAGCTTTATATCCATTTTTGTAGCCAGGCGTACCAAAATAAATATTTATGAATGGTCGGCCAAAAAAAATCTTTTACGAACAATAAAGGTAACCCACGCACTTCGATATTTAAATAAACCCAGATATTTCTGGGTAAAAATAGTCTCGACTCGATGATATATGTGACAGCAGCCAGTGCGATCGTCAGAAATGTTTTTTTTTTCTATGCAGGTAGAGAAATAGGCGCTTTATAAACAAGAAATCGTACTTTTAGTAAGACAATGACAGAACAAGGAAATCCATCTAAACTATAAAAATATTGAAATGATGAATAAGAAGTAAAAATATGCTATTTTTTCTTGAAGTGATTTGTTCCCATCTTGTTTAGATGTTCTAAAACTATTGCGTTGTCTAAAACAAAAAATTATCAGTAGTAATACCACCAGTGCATGGAAAATTATCGACAATTTTACCAAAATTTGCATGAATTGAATTGCGTCTCCCGCGTACTGAGACCAATTATGCGGTGTTGCCGATGTTACACAACATTCTGTATATCTAAAACGTTTATTATTATTGGCTGTTGTAAAAAGTAATAAAATGTGCGCTATAAAAAGCTGTAAACGTTTAGAAACCACAATTAACCCGATAATTGAAAAAATTTGTTGCACTTTTCGAAATATATTTCTAAATGCATTGTTTTATCACCTGCGATAGGATCCACTTTCTCGAATTTTAAGCGCATTGACGTTTTACGCAATAACATGGTTTGAACCGTTATATCGTTGGTAAAAAAAAAGTAATAGATTAATCAATTGGTACCGATGACATCAAAACATTTTAAAAAGACGAAATTACTTTCTTTGAAGTTAAATTGAAACAACTTTATTATATTTTCAATTACTGTTATAATGTCAATTTAAATTCTTTTGTCAAACTAGGATAAGCACCTATTTTTTGGCTCTTGCAATTATGGTTTTCTTCTAAGAGTGGTATTTTCAAAATCATTGCAAGTTAATTAAATAACAAAGTGGCAATTTAAGACTGAAATAAAAAAATCGTTCTCCTGCCTAAAAATAAAGCAGAATAACTTTATTATCTGTAATTATTAATTTGTTACACGAAGAAAGTTTATATAATAGATCAAAATATTCAGGTGTTCCGCAAGGGTTAATCATGAGGGCACAGCTGTTTGTTATTTTTATTAATGAACTATGAGTGTCTGGAGGTCAATTATTTACTCTATGTGGGCGACTTAAAGTTCCTGGGAGTTGAAATTTGTATTAATTGTACTAGATTACAAAACAATCTTGACAACTTATATAGTTGGTGTTTGAACGAAAATTTGTGTCCTACAAACAGCGCAAAACAACTCTAATATTAATTATAAAATTGGTGAATATTTTTTAATAAATACGCAATTTATTGACCTCGGTATTAGTTACTAACCAATTCTGCTTTTAGAAATTTAGGCTATATTTTGTGTGATTCTAAGGACTTTCAGAACGTAAAGATTCTAAATATCCACATTGTTTATAATATTCAATTAGAGAAAGTACAACAGAGATACTTAATGTCTAGAGATCTGAAGGATCACTTATTCAAACACTCTACCGCAACCAGACAATGCAGCAGCGAAACTTTTTCGGACCACCGCAATTTACGTAATCCGCAAAAAAGTTCAAGTTCGATTATACACCGGGAGAACGCGAACGGCGTTCTTTGTTTCGTCGTTTCGATTACCGAAACGGGGTCGGAGCTAATTCGAAATTAAATCTAAACTTTCATTTAATCCCGAACCGTAAACGACGCCTGCAATCGAGATCTTGCGCGGAACGTGATCGTGCAACTTTTTCACCTCCAATCGACCTCTACCGTTCCTACAGTCTCGAATTGTGCCTCGCGCGGACCAAGGCTTCGAAACTGGTGGAAATTTCTAATAAACGCTCTCGTGAGTACAAAATAAGTTCGTTAAAAAGTCCTAAGTCGCAAGGGAAATATACAGGGCGTTAATTAATTACCTCAACACATATACAATTACAAATCACTATGAATAAATACTAAACAGATTTTTCAAATTTTCTTGTCAAAAACGTTTTTTTCCGAAGACATTTTAATATACAGTGCTTTCGAAAAGTAACGAATAAATTCATTATTTTTTAAATAAGTTTTCGAAAAAATCCCCTGGCGCGTCGATTTTGTTTTTAAAAAAGGCACTTTTTGACATACGACCCATATTTGTGACGTCATCGTTGTTCGATATATGACGTCATCGGCAATTTTTTTAACTGGCAACCCCCAATTTTGACCATGCCATTTGAAAGAGCGTGTCATTCTACAAACACAGATCATGAAAAATTATGGTGTTACATAACAAAAATTTCAAGAAAATATTGTTTGAAGATTTTAAAATTTAATTTTCACAATACTGAAAATGATAATCATTATGTAAAAATCGACTAAATGGTGCACCTCCCCATTATGCAACACCTGTTTGTGCTTATTTAGGCGAGCTGTTCCCGAATCGTTGGATAGGGAGAAGGGGGCCGATTGAGTGGCCAGCCAGATCGCCTGATTTGACACCCCTAGATTATTTCTTGTGGGGATACTTAAAAAGCAAAGTATACGTTACTAGACCGGTTAATTTAGATTTAAAAGCAAGAATTCGTCACGAGATACATCGTATACCCCTGAAGTTATTGATAATGTCCAAAAAGAATTTATTAATCGTCTTGGCTACTGTCAGGCAGCCAACGGTGCACAATTTGAACATTTAATTTAGTCGATTTTTACATAATCATTATCGTTTTCAGTATTGTGAAACTTAAATTTTCAAATCTTCAAACATTATTTTCTTGAAATTTTTGTTAGTAACACTACAATTTTTCATGATCTGTGTATGCACGCTCTTTCAAATGGCATGGTCAAAATTGGGGGTTGCTATTTAAAAAAATTGTCGATGACGTCCTATTTCGAACAACGACGTCACAAATATGGCTCGTATGTCAAAAAGTGCCTTTTTTAAAAACAAAATCGACGCGCCAAGGGATTTTTTCGAAAACTTCTCAATTTAAAAAATAATGAATTTATTCGTTACTTTTCGAAAGCACTGTATATAGCTTTTTTGAGGTTAGGTTTCCAGCATTATACGTTACATATTGTCACAGTTTGACATTTGCATGCGAAAGCAGTGGCGTCACTTACAAATTTAAAAATAACTGTTAAATATATTAAAATACTTTTATCAGCATCGCACTTTGTTGAGATGGGCTTCAGTATATTTCTTTATCGTTAAAGTAATTTTGTAGTGAAAAGTGCGACATACATATTTGCGTGATAATAACTAAAATAGTGTTCTATCTGACACGATTTTTCTGTCTTAAGGTCAAATTCCCAGGCTTGATGCTCGACGCACGAACCGATTATCTGTCACTATCTCTAAAAATAATCCACCTTCCGTTTGTCGTGATTGAATGGTGCATAGGATGAGTCATCGACCACAAATACAGCGATTCTAATTGCGATTCTAGTAAAGACCTCGCCTTGAATTTTAATGGATTGTTTGCGTTCGTGTTTATGCACTCGAAAAAAAGAGTTACGTTCGTTCGAGGGAATACCAGAATAAATTGAGAAATTTCGAATTAATCGTCTTAAAAAAAAGCTATTACCCCGCACAATGGGGGAATAGTGTGGTGTTTTCTTGTTTCGACTTGTTGCCGTCGTTCTGATAGTTACAGGATATTTTTGAAATTATCACGATCGTAAAACTGAAACCGTAACAAAATAAGACCCACTATAAGTCACAGATACATAAGAATTGAAGTTTACTTGACTACGAGAACTTTGGAAATAATTCCTGTAGGAGAAAACATCAAATGCCACTTTGTCTACCCCTACACACAATGTAATAAAGTTCAAATAAAAGAAAATGTCAGTTGCCAACTTCAAAGCAATCAAAAGCGTTTTCTTTACATTTCCAGTGTTAGGTATATACCTTTTGCAAGTAGTATATAGTGACACTTCTATGCTCTGATGTAACAAAGGAATGTTACGAAGCTGTCAAACCTACGAAACACGATTTTATCCGAGCGGAACGAATGTTTTGAATTTTATTGCTATTACACATAAAACATCGGTGGTTAATTGAATGAAAAAAAAAATCTTGATATTAATCCTTATCTGAAGGCAATTTTTCCGCGCGATATATCTATGATTGTGCCAAGGCCGTTTCCCCCTGCTGATAGATCACCGCAGAAGAATCGCAAGGACATCGGAAATATACGATTAACGCGACCACGAAGGCGTTTTATCAATCCCCGATGACGGCAATCGCTCGTAAAAAATAATCTTCTCGGCAAATATTTATCCTTGCGTCTGCGTAAGCTGGTATTTTTAGTCCGGTTTCTAGTTTCCCGTAAACAGACATAAGTAACATCTCGTTATGTAAGTGGATAGGAACGCAGAAGTTCGTCTTTTTTTAGATCTGTTGACAAAGTTTAATTTACTGCTTTTCCATACTACAATACAACATTGTATAGGATTATGTCAGAACTTGTATACTATAACAATGAAAGATGCATACTGATGTACAACGAAATAGTCGCATTGTAACTATACAGAGTGTTCTACAAGCTCTAGGACAGAGCTTGTACAACACCCTGTATAGATACCATAAACATTATAAACTTCTAAGTACACTATCGCCATCTATCGGTTATAAACCTCTTTTGGAGCTTTTCTACAGTTAAAAAAAAGACCTTTAGGATGCATTCCACGCGAATGGAATGATCACATAATTTACCGAATGAAAAATAACACCGCGCCCGTCAGCACTAAAAACGCCTCGCCCCCAGCCACGACGGATAAGCGAACAAAAAACAAACTGTAATGGGAATACTCACGAGTGCCGGCCACAGGGCAGTGCCGTGCGTAGGGGTGAAGGGGTCCCTGCGCTGCGCCCATACCAGGGCCTGCTCCACCATGAACATTTGGAAGAGGCCCTCCTTGTAAACGCTGATCCACTCGCGCCGGTGCCACTCCACGTCGTCGTACTCCACCAGCACCTGCAACGACAGAATAAATCATATAATGTTGAAATGTCATATTAATTAAAATATCCTAATAATTGCACTAGTGCTCCGATAACTGCACTATTGAGTTGATAATTGAGTACTAGTGCTCTGACAATTGAAAGTTCAGGTGCGCTGATACGTGCACTAGTGTACTGACGAATTGCACTAGTGCGATGATACATGCACTAGTGTACTGAGGAATTGCAATAGTGTACTGATAATTGCACTAGTGTACTGACGAATTACACTAGTGCGCTGATACATGCACTAGTGTACTGACGAATTGCACTAGTGCGCTGATACATGCACTAGTGTACTGACGAATTGCAGTAGTGTACTGATAATTGATCTAGTGTACTGACGAATTGCACTAGTGCGCTGATACATGCACTAGTGTACTGACGAATTGCAGTAGTGTACTGACTAGTGTACTGACGAATTGCACTAGTGCGCTGATACATGCACTAGTATACTGACGAATTGCACTAGTGTACTGATGCATGCACTAGTGTACTGACGAATTCCACTAGTGCGCTGATACATGCATTAATGTGCTGACGAATTACACTAGTGTACTGATGAATTCCACTAGTGCGCTGATACATGCACTAATGTGCTGACGAACTGCACTAGTGTACTGATAATTGCACTAGTATACTGAAGAATTCTAGTAGTGCGCTCATGTGCACTAGTGTATTGACGAATTATACCAATGTACCTACTGATAACTGTACTAATGTGTTGACGAACTACACTAGTGCACTGGTTATTGCACTAGTGCAAAATCCCCGTTAAATTTTGAGCTAATCGGTTAAATATAACATACAAGTTAAACTTAGCACTCTGTACTCTGTGGTAATTTATTAAAAAATATATTTCTTCATTCGCAGCAGGCTCGTCCCTTCCTAAACCCGATGAAGGGCCGCCCACACCGCCTCAGATCCCCGGATTTTTTCCCGAGCCCCGTCCGGATAATCCCCGCAATTACCAGCGCCCTTTTAATAGAGCAGGCGAAGCGCGGTAGTGGCTGAAGCACCGCCAATATTATGCGCGTAATTCTGGCACATTATTTAATTCGCCCCATTATTATTCAACGCCGCGAGCCGGGCATCGCATTTGCATAATACATGTCGACAATCTAGCTATCATCCGACCCGACGTACTGGCTGGGCGCAGGGGTCACACGAAGGTCGAACGTCCGACGTCGACAGGTCCGCCAGGCCTCGGGGTTGCTGGTGGTTCGGTTTCTTTGCCGGCGGTAAACGGTACAGGTGTTCGGGTTAAGGCGTGTCCGCACCTGGCAGTACTTGGGCACGTAAACAGTTCTTAGGATAAGGAGTCAGGAGGAGCGGAAAGGTACAGGCAATTTCATCGGGTTTTCAGTTTGTAAATTTGTTACTTCGCATTTCTGCAGTCATTTCTTCTTCTTCCGAGCTCCCTTTCGGAAATGACCTGGGTTTCTTCAATTTCCTCTTTCAATTTGCTCAGTATTTCCGCAATTTTTGAAAATTGGATTAAACTCTACAAGTGACAAAGACGTAGTTTCTTTACGACAAAAACATATTCGAAATATTTTGCAGTCAACTGGCATTTAGCTATTGAATTTGAGCACTTGGAACTCCGCCCTGTACAACGCCCGTGATAGCGGCACTCCGTTGTTTATTTTTCTCGGTCTGCGTGTACCGCATCCTGTCTGAACAGCGTGGGTTTTACATTAAAGTTTCTTCCTACTTTGCATTCCCCGCTTTCCTCCCGCCTTATCAATCAAATACTTTATCTCCGGCCGTCCTTTTCGTGTCATCTCTCGCCGGGTGATAAACTTGAAAAGTTAGGGCGGGCGTAAATAAAATTCCGACGACTCCGACGTTTTATTACGGCAAACTTCGGCGAAACTGCCAAGTTCGCCTGGAAAAGTTCTTGGGAAATGTTTCAAGGTCGGGGGAGTTTTCCGTCTTGGGGAGAGCCGGACGTTGAAGGAAAATAACACCGACACGCTCGTGCCAGGTCAATTTTTTGCGTGCCTATCAGTAAATCCATAATAGCCTTGTTACGGTCGATTATCTCCTAAAGAAAGCTACCGAAAAATCTTAAGACACAAACGTTTTAGGGTTTTTTAAAATCTGTTATAATAAAGAATAATTAAGTGTGCAGGATCAGTCAAAGAGTCATGACTCATGACGAAACAAAGTTGCTTTTCCTTTAATAGAACACACTGTATATTATTCCATACTTCAATTATTCTCGAGATTCTAAACAAAATTTATATAGCACATTATGTACCTAAATTAACCGTTTTCGAGATATCGAATTTTGAAATTCATTTCCTTAAAAATTATAAAAAAATATCAGCGGCCCTTTATAATCATTACATACATATTAGGGTGGCCCAAAAAAAAAACGAATATTTTTTTTCGTGTCTTGTGAAAATTTGTTAATCATGTTCGAAGAGCTCCCTAAAAAAATCAGCTCAAAAAAAATTTTTTTAGAGGACGCTGAAGATTTTTATAAATTTCCAAAATCGTCAAAAATTTCATTCTTTTTTTTTTAATTTGAAAAAATCTCGATTCTGAAAATTTCAAATCGATATTTTAATTTCTAATTGTCACTCATAATTTCAAAGTAGTGTAGAGGTCTTTTAATATCTCATGAGCCGCGAAATACGCGAAAGGCGTGGCGTATCCCCATAATTCTTCTAATTAGCTCGTTGTGAAAACATTGACTCAGAATTAGACCATGTGCATCATTACAAGTAGACATGAACTAAGGCGCTCGGGCATCAATAAAGTCAACTGGCGAACGTTCGTTATATATATTTTTATTGTTTAAATTAAAATAATAAAGAATAGGGCATTTTATTATGATATTTGTAATCGGATCAAAGGCTTGTTTACGCTAGAGCTCGAGAGAGACTGTGAATAATAATAATGTTTTTAGGACGCAGAATAATTTAGGCGACGGTCGGAATTATGTTTCTGCGCATATGAAGGTCAAAGCTCATAAGATTTTAAAACATCTCTACTTATGTCTTCGAGCGACCTCTAAAAATAAATATCAACGAACTAATAATTATTTTTTATTGAATTTGATGAATGAATAGAAATAAATCACGACACTTAAATTTTAAAAAATTTCAAAATTATAAATATTTGATACTCACAGTGCGGTAGTAAATGTTACGTGGAGAAATTTTTTAAGTGTCTCGTGATTTATTTCTATTCTTTTGTTCATCAAATTCAATAAAAAAAATTATTAGTTCGTTGATATTTATTTTTAGAGGTCGCTCGAAAACAGTTTAAGGTACACTACTTTTAAAGTTAAAATAATTATGAATAACCTTTAGAAATTAAAATATCGATTTGAAATTTTCAGAATCAAGATTTTTTTCAACCTAGGAAATGATAAAATAATGAGAAAAAAGTTTAAAAAAATCAATCAATTTTGAAGGATTTTGGAGATTTTAAAAAATCATGACCTTTAAAAAAAATTTTCTTGAGCTGATTTTTTGAGGGGGCTCTTAAAACACTAACATATTTTCACAAGAGACACAAAAAAAAAATTTGTTTTTTTATTTCTTTTAACTTTGACACAAACACCCATTATAGTATTTCCGAAGTCAATTGAACATGTATAAAAATAAAAACGCCTAGCAATAAAATTTAATGAGTTTCATAGGCGTTCCTAAAAGGTTTTCTGCTAAAGGTAAAAAATAATATTAAGTTATATAAATATAATGTGTAGAAAATTTATATTATTATTTTCATTTGGCCAGTAACATATTTCAATTATTTATTTCGCAAACAATTGTATTATACTAATGGTAAATTTTGGTTATGACATATCAAAAAACATTTACATTTTCATTAAAATACAGGGTGTGCCATTTAAAACTCCCGGTGCCAATATTTCCGAAATGAAGAAATTTATTTTAGTTCCGGAAACTGGGGTTGTTAGGTCCCTCCAATAGCTTCAAATTGTAGGTATGATGTAACAGGAAAATTTATTATTTTATCTAAATCACAGCGAGATAAAATATTCTTTTACAATATTGTTATAATGACTTTATTCACATCACATACTAACCAACAAACAATTAATTATGAAAAAACAAATTATCAACTACGGAAAAAAAATTGTACAATGGTAAATCTTATAAATAGTAAGTATAGTTAAATTGAAAGACGCAAGCTGATAAAACTGTAATTATTGGAAAACTAATATGTGTCGTCTGTCAAACATGTTTTATTTTAAACAAATGACATGAGCCACCTATGACTGCATTTTTTAATAACATTTGATAAAATACGTTTCGTCTCTGCCCCTTATAAGATTTACCATAGTACAATTTTTTTTTCTGTAGTAGTATGTGATGTGAATAAAGTCATTATAACAGTATTTTAAAAGAATATTATGTCTCAGTGTGATTCAAATAAAATAATAGATTTTCCTGTTACATCATATTGCATGTTGAAGTCGACATATCTCGAAAACAAGGAAATATAGGGAAAAACTTTATATTACAAAAATTACTCAAAATTTAACGATCTTTCTGATGGACTGCATTTCCACATTCCAGGGAACAAAAAAATTGTTACTATTGCCACGCCATCTATACAGAAAGATTTGAACTAACAGTTCTAACTACAATTTGAAGCTGTTCGAGGGTCCTAACAGTCCCAATTTCCATAACTACAGTAAATTTCTCCATTTCGGAGATATTGGCAGCGGGAGTGTTAAATGGCACACCCTGTATATTATACTGCTCGCCATGAACTAAGAGGAATGTATGAACATATCCTTGCCAGTAAAGGATGAGGAAAGGTTGTTAGTTTAGGTTAGAAAAGTCTATTAAATAAAAATAATCAATAGTAAAATAATTCCGCATTGCTGCACTGCACTGCTAGGCAATTTGTCAACAACTGAAATTTATGGCCCAGTCGCCCAGTGCGGCTGTGTTGGTGCGGTTTCTACCACCTGCTCGTTTAGTTCGACCA